GGGGGGGGGCGCTCAGCTGTACTAATGACCCAAGGGTTTCAATCAAGGCCAAAGAGCTTCACGAAGCTAAGAGAACTAAATAGTCTGTTTTAAGGGTAACCATCATACAGTACTCAAAGTGAGTATTCAAGTACTCATTATACAGATTTAGTGGGGTTTCATTAGGTCACTGCTACTTGCATTAAAAAAAATCGCATTAAAGGAATTAACTGCCCTGCTCAGTGAGTGACGGTCTGTGAAGGGCAGGCTGGACTAGGGGACATCCCTCAGAGTGTAGGGGGCACCAGATAATCCGCATGCCCAGACCAACCTTGTCGATGAAGAGGCGGAGGGCAGCGAAGACATGTCGCAGTGTGGTGGTGGACTGGTTGATCTGGAAGAAGAGCAAGTACGTGTCGAAGACCTTCTTCATCAGGGAGTTCTGGCCGTCCTCATGCTGCAGCTGTTTCTGTTGGGGGGGGGGGGCACAATATGGCCAACTGAACACAGAGCTCCGATCCCTGCCATGAATCTGAAAAGTGCATCAATAACAGTCGGGATGTTGTTTCTGCTTTGGGTCTTTGACTGTTTTATGGTGGATGACGGATTTATGGTGCCCAAAAATACGGCGCTGATTAAATCCTGGGCACCTTGCCTTGTGCTGATATTGAGAATAGTTGCTGACACTATGGTAGCATAGAATGCGTGACACCAGTAGGTGGCAGCAGAGTCCAGGGGCAGCTTCCCTCACAATGTATCACTGTCTTACTACACTGCAGTGTCTCGCAGCTGAGGGGTGATTAATGCAGAGCCAGTGCTCAGGAGATGCTAAGCAAGCTGCCTGTACCCTCAGCGATGGGGACGGCTAACAATGAGCTCGGTGCCCCACTGAGGAAGATGGCCGTCTCCACGCAGCCATTTCGCTGACCTTGTGGTGCTGGACGAAGAGGCCCAGCACGTCCAGCACGGTGAGCCCCACCTCCGTCGACAAGCTGGCTTCGATGTCCGTGGGGCTCACAGTATCGCCGTCTCCAGCGTTGCCGTCTGCAAAGACAGACAGGGAGCCGTCTCAGGAAAGGCTGCCTTAACATCAGCCAAACGTCAACTGTCGTGGTTACTAACCAGCGGGGTGAAGCAATACAGTCGACCTTTCTGCATCGCAACTTCCCCCCCATCATGGTTTTGATGGATCATGGGCTTGACATAAATTTAAGTTTTAAAAATAAGTTTTAGGGAATTTTTCGGAGGTCTGCGAAAGCCGCGGACGACACATGAAGGCCAACAGACGGCGCGCAAAAAATGATCAACTCCTAAATACGTAAAATATTTGTGCCCATTGTGGAGGACGCTTCTTTACGGCAGCCTCTCATGTGATGTCTCCCAGTGATCTTTGTATCTCGCATTTTTCGTATCTTTTCTCTTCACTCTGATCACATGCTTGCTTTGCTCCCCAAGGGTTCCACCAAATTGGATGTGGCTTTTCCAGACTGCGAGGAGCCTGCGTCCCAGACCCCTGCGACGTGGAAGGGTCGACTGCACTTTAAAACAATGCCCATAGGAATGTCAAAAGACGTACGGAAGGCTGCATGGATGGATGGATGGACGGACAGATGGATTGGTATCCATCATACAAAACAAAGTATAAAAACACAGTGTGGCTCCTGTAGGACGGCGGGCGGCTCGTACTGGAGCTGGTGGCGTTCTCCATCATCTGCAGGAGTTTGGGGTTGGCCAGGGCGTTCTTGCCACGGATGATGGGCATGGTCTGGGAGCGGGCGTGCCGGTGCCCATCCTGGCCCGAGTGCATCCTGGGAAAGGGAGTGGGGGGGTTGGGGGTTAGGGAGACTGCAGTGGGGGATGTGTGCTTCTTGGACACACAATACTTTTGTGAACATCAGCGGTATCTTTGGTGAAGACAACTTAAAAGTGAAAGTTATTGATTTAGGGAGTTACTTCATTGTTAATCAGGCCAGAACCACATGGGGCAGGGTGTGTGTGTGTGTGTGTGTGTGTGTGACTGTGTCGCTGGAAGGAGGGTCACACAGATCTTCTGTACAGCATTTCATACGGTGACATTAAAGATGGCAGGGGCAAAGGGACAGGGGCAAGAATGATCACTTGCCACAGACTTTACTGGGCGTGAGAGTATGACACTAACAACAGTGATTATTACACTCATGTCAGGCAAAAGGTGCATCTAATGAGGCTGAGAGAAACTGGACTGAAGGTGGATGATCTGGAAATTGAGCCTTTTTCAGCAAAATGATTAAACCTGTCATGGGGTTTAAACACTAAAGCACCTTCAGGATCAGCCTCCCTCATTCTTTAGCTTCGTGCTCACAGTTATAATTCGGCTTAAATAAACCACAACTATTTTGGCCTGTTTGTCTGCGGCTCGGGCGCAGCGGCGCCCCCCGGTGGCGAGTGTTTACCATTGTGGGAGAAGGCCAGTGGATTGAGTGGAATTGCTAGAGCCCTTCAGGGTGCCATTGTTCTGGGTAGCCTGCGCCAGCTTCACCGCCGCGGCGAGCTTCCTGTTCACAAGCCAAGGACAGACGTGTCAGCGAGGGCCAGCGTGTCTGTGCGTGTCTGTGCACGTGTGTGCGTGTCCGTGCGGGTCACGGCGGCCAGGTTAGTTGTATGAGTTAGAGCCAATTTATTCACCATTAATGGAACAAACAAAACAATTCATGGTTAACGAGTAGCAGCCCTGCACACTGCTAACTGCGCTCCCACAGCCACCTCACGAAGTGCACACGCACGACAGCCCCTGTCATGTGACCCAAGGCGGGGGGGGGGGCACATAAATGGAAGGACATGAGCAGGAACGGTGACAACATCAAACAGCGAAGAGGCAACTTTCAACTATTTAGACGTCCATCAAATTTGTGCTTCTCTGAGTAAATGAAATAAATGGCTAATTGCCCGTGACCCTGGAATAAGAGCAAGCCGTCGTTTCAGCATGGACCACAGGGCCAAGACCACACAGCAGCAAACATGGCACGCAAACCCAGAGCCTCTCATTACAGATGCGGGTTACATCCCAGCCGCCGCCGCGTCTGCTAGGGGAATAGATCTGTTTACCTCTGGTGTCTGAATCCAGGGGCTTCGTTAGTGTAACAAAGGATGATGTACAGTTACTCAAATTGAGGGATGTGTGGAATCATTTAATTAAGGGGAAGGACCAGAAATCCACACACACACACACTCATGCCTGTTTCTGTTTAATAAAAGAAAGAAAGGATCCGTTTGCAGGCTCTAACAGAACATGGCGGGTCTTTACAACCCACAGCCCAGCCCTGGTCTGGACTGGCAGCAGCCTGAGCTGTCTAGGGTTCTGGTTCTGAGAAGGCTCTGATCACTAAAGCCAGCTTGACCAGGATGGAGGGAATCTCTGAGCAGCCCTGTCAAGGTCTCAGAGACTCTGGCCACCAATAAGAACCAGCCCATGCTCAGTCCCCTCTCCAGCGGGAGGGAGTGAAATATTTCACCTTGGCAGGGGATGTACCCTCACTCAAAGACAGAGAGTGAGCAAAGGGGGGGGGCGGAGCTCTGTACTGTTTGTACCTTCTAACAGTATTACGCAGCATGATTTTATGAACCACACCCTCCCAGACATTATTTCTGTGCATGCCTGTTCCATGCGACCATGTCCGGAGGACATAACACAGCCCCCCCAGCCTCTCGCTGTCAATCGCGGACCTGGAGCCCCCACCCCCCCCCTCCCCCTCACCTGGCGATGTGCCTCTTTCCCAGAAACCTGAAGTGCTGAAGGCAGAGCCTGCATGGGGACAGAACGGGACACTGGGTCAGGGGCAACATCCACGCAGCCCGTCAGCTGTTAGGACGGGCTCATCAACAGCTGCTCTTACTCTGTGAATGTTTCTCAAGCCCTCTAACAATGATACAGACAATAATACAAATAATGGTAAGGATTTACCACTAACAGCACTTGAAGACACTTAAACAGAAACAAAAGTGAACATAGAAGAAAGCTAAACATTTCCAGTGATCTCTCTTTACATGCAGTCGCATTCTATCTATCAGCAAGTTTGGTCTGCAGTTATTCAGACATTAAAGGCGATTGACTATCTCCTTGTCCATGTTACGGGGGGTACTGGCAGGATGGGGTGATTCACATGCGACTGGACGCTCCCAGACGCTCTACCACAGGATACTCACTCTAATAAGTTGAAGAAGTCAGAGATTTCCTGATGTACTGCCCGGTGCCAGTAGGAGACCAGGACATCTGTCAAGTATGACAAGAACATCTGTGATGGCAGGTCCTCCATGTTTCCCCCCCCATTATTATTTATTTATTTTTACAGGTGGGGGCTGCAGCACATGCCACGTGGACACGGGGGGGGGGGGGGGGGCAGGGGCGCTCACCCTCGGACACGGTCTTCATGATGTGCAGGAAGCACATGAGCAGGCTGCGAGTTTCGGCCTGGTCCAGCTTGTCGAAGCGCGACATGTACCCGATGAGAGACTGAGGGCGTGCCACCTGGAACGAGACACGGGTTAGGGTGGGACACCCCTGTGAGTCGCATTTTGGTTTCATCCGTGGCTGGGGGGGGGTTGGTGGGGTTTGCTGGGAGACGACAGACACGCTCACCTTCTCTAAACCCTCGGTCTTCTCGCTGTTCTTGTCGCTATTGCTGGGGTTGGACTCGATGCTGATGAGGGAGCCGCGGGAGCCAGCGTGGTTGCCAACGGATACAGCTAGGGAAGAAAAGGCTGGGGGAGGGCCGAGGATTGGGGTCAGAGGTCAGGTGGGGATGAGGTACAATGACACTAAGGCGATACCCGACTGCTCCTCATGCTGACAACTGAACATACTGGCGACTATGACGGTGTCTACCTGTGATGGAGTTCAGGACCTCTTTGGAGAAGGAGGCGTCTATGGAGCTGCCATGTTTCAGGGCATGCGTCATGGGGCCCTGCAGACCCCCGGCCACACTCAGGTCGTCCCGGGAACCCTGGGGGGGGCGGGTTCAGGAATCCACGCTCACATCTCAGGTGCGATTCTCCGTTTCAGCTTAAGTGTGGGACGGGACGGGCGCCTACCTGGTCGCTGGGTGCGAAGCTGATGGGAAACAGGTCCCGCAGGAAGAAGCGCGGCATGTTATCCAGGATGAGGCCGTAGACGGGCAGGTAGAGCGATGCGATCCTTGCCTGCCTGTCCTGGAGGAGCAAAGGGAGGCGAGAAAGAATAAGAGCCTCCCCGTGGAGCTCCTTGGGGTGTCGGAGTGCCATTTCCCACATGGCCCCCTGGAACATGGCAGCTGGTCAGTGGTAGCTGTGATAAACGTTATGCAAATGTTTAGCTGAAACGTTTCCCCCTTATTGGTGCCAAAACGGATGCCAGAGAGTGAAAGCCAGGCTGGAAGAGTGAGGAGCTTTGAGGAAAGAGGATGAAATGTGTGTGAGACAGAGAGGGGGGTGGAGGGGCAGCCTGTGATGTGGAGCCAGACAGGGTTGCTTCGCACTAAAATCATGTGAGAGTCTGAGCTCAGTGGGCCAGACCCATAATCGCGGTGCAATCTGGCGACTGCACAGGCCTGCTGTCCCACTCGGAAGGAGCGTGTCAAGTCAGGGCAGCGGGGGAGCTGGGGGCAACGGTGTTTAAGAGTTTCCGGCTCTTTCATAACTTCCTCTGCATTAGCAAGTGTCCTTCTCATAGTGGAGGGAGGTATGGGAAGTGATGAAAGATAAGGAGGAGGGGGGAGACGGGCCCAGGAGGGGAACTCCAACAGCAGAAAACACACGGCAGGAGCAGTCAAAGGTCAGGACACAGCTACTGAATTTCATTTGTTTTTCAACGAGATGAGAACCCTAAGCTCACAGCATGTATATGACCCCCCCCGACCTAAGCCCTACAGAGCTGCTTTGGGATGAGCTGGATTGAACATTAAGAGCACGGCAGTCAACTTGTGCCCAGAACTTGTGGAAACTCCTGCAGGACTGGAGAAGCATTCCAGGTGGCTACATCTGGAAGCTGACTGAAAGGATGCCAAGAGTCTGCAACGCTGTCATTGGAGCAAAAGGGGGCTGTTTTGAAGAGTCTAAAATCTGAGAAAGTTTTGATATGTTGAATGCTTCACTTGGTTATTGGAATATCTGATATGTAATACTTCATGCCTCGAGGCCTTTCACTATGAGGTGAACATCAGAGCCGAGTGTGAATACCCGGCTGCTGTAACGCCCGTCCACAGAATGCTTGGCCATCAGATTCTTCAGGCTGGCGAGGGCAAGGTGGCGCAGGTCCTGCTCGCCCTGTAGCGCCAGGCCCAGTTCCCGAAGCAGCATCCCCGTCAGGAAGTGCTTCCTGCAGAACTCCTCCGTCAGGCTGTACTCGGGAATATCCACTGGAGTGCAGCAGAGAGTTGGGCGGGGGGGGGGGCACACAAACTCATTAAGTCGCTATGTGGTCCAGTAATGTGTTATGAAGGGCGGCAGCAGCCTGTAATAAGCATAGAGGGATAATGCAGAAAATAAAGAATTACCCAGAGTGCTTTGCGATTCTGAGGGGGAGCCAAGGTCTGAGGAAGAAAGGATGAAGAGAGGAGAACCTTAAACCAGCACAGATGGGCAACACGGAACACAAGCTTGAGAGTCTGACACCGGCCATTAATTCTCAGGAAGTCTCCTGTACCCTTAGCTTCAGACATGTTTTCATAAAAACATTAAGCTTCGCAAGCTGGTAGAGAGTAACGCAATATGGAATGAATGCTGGACAACCAGAAGAACAATGATTAAAAATGGCCAAACAAAAGCCACACGGCCTCCTACCTGTGATCTGGGCCGAAGGAATGGGCAGGCTGAGGGGGATGTAATGCTCGTGGTTACACACCTCCCGCAAGAATTCAAACTTTAACTCCACCAGGCCCTGAAGCAATAACAGGGGCATTGTGGGTAAACAGAGCAGTGGAAATGGTCCCCGTAATCAGGGAGAGGAGCCAGGAGCAAATGAGAAAGGTCTATGAGGACAAGTGAACAGGTTCTCCAGAGGAATGTGTTCACCTTGCTCTCGTTGACTCTAATTCCATTTATATAGCTGCTGATGAGCTTGAAGGTGAATCCTCGATCCATGAAGGTGAAGCAACGCTTTAAGAGAAAACGACTAGGTTCAGATTTCAAGCACACTTATCATGAGCTTAAGCCGGTCTTTCCTAGTCTCCCTGTACCCGCATATTGCTGAAGCTAGTCACTAATCTTCTCCCAGTCCTATATCTTGCTTAGGCTGATCATATCGATGATCCCTGTTTCTGCTTCACTAATGAATAAACACTATCCCCATCTGTAGAGGAGAAGCTGGCAGCCGGAGTGACTGTCTCCTCTGGCTCACCTTGACGAAGTTAGCTATGGCCAAATTGGCGCTGCGAGTCTCCTCGGGCAGGTCTCTATTCTTCCAGAAGATGTGGTCCGACACGTTCATAATGAGGTTCTCCAGGTTGCCGAGATACGATTTGGGGAACCGTTGTGGCCGGGGCAGCTGATAGAGCAGAGGGCAACCGTGTCAGGGTCATGAAGCTGGCCTGGCTTAGCTTAGCCTAGCTTATCTTAATGCATGGCTTACAAAGTGCTGTATGTGTGCATGGGTGTTCAATATTACAGCGATAATTAGGTCAATTAACATATTATCCGAAATTCCTGAATCCCAGCTTTTTTCAGGTTGTCTGTTGAATCCTTTACCTTCACCTTCTCCACATCCACCAGGTGCTGGGCCATGGACTTCACAATGAGGTTGAAGAAGAACCAGGAATACTGGAGAGATACGGCAAACATACATGGTGTAGACTGTAGAGAATCTTACAACAGGCCCATCACCTGACCCACAATGCCATGGGGAGTGGGGGCCGAAACAGAAGCCCTGCCCATCAGGTATACCTTCAAGACGTTCTTGACGACTGCTTGCTCGTTACTCTTCAGGTCAGAGTTCATGACCATGGCCAATTCCTCGTGCACCGTCCGGGAATCATGAAACTCGGTCTGGAACACAAACTGCAAAGCACAGCATGTCAGATAAGCCACAGGTTTATACCAGATTTCAGAGTATCGACTGGTCTCGGCTGCCTTGGGCTGCTTGTGCAATTTCTGGTATATTTGGACACTTTGTTAATCACGTGTCTGTCTAAAATTCAGAAAAAAAACAGATTGCATGCCCTGACATCACTCAGTGAACACGGAAATACATGCAGTCGTGCCTCTCAGACCAACAGGATGTGGCGGTTGTAACCTGTTTTTGTTTTTCATAATATTGAGGCCTCAAACAGGTTGACTGCCCTGCTCATCTCTCTGAAACAAACTTTAATCACATTATATTTGCAGATATTGCCTTACTGGCAGACCGGCTGATTTAACGGGACAAAGTGTTTACAGAAAAAGGGCAAGAGCCCATGAATGATGATGAATGATATGCTGACACTCAGCAGACATCTGTGCGAGGACAACCCCCCTCATGCCCCCCCGTGCCTCCTTTACAGGATTACTGATGTTTTGAACTCATTCCATAGTAACAGAAACCACAGTCACCAAGACATACTGGTAAACCCCGTTGCCAGGCATGAGCACACAGCCACACACGCACACACACAGTCCACATCTTAATATCTTTATGGGGACTCTATTAATTTCTATGGGCATAACTCTATTCCCAGCAATGACAACCTTAATCCCTACCCAGCCCTAATCCTAACCATAAGTAACCAAACAAAATACAAGACTTTCTGCATTTTTAGTGTTCTGACTGCAACCACAGATTTTTATAAAACTGAGGTTTAAAAGTTACATGGTTTTATCACACTGTGGGGAAATTTTGTTCCCACAATATAATAATTATAAAAACGTGCACGCGCACACACACTCACAGGGGGAATGCCAAGCTTGTAAACTCACAGACATACATTTGCAGTCAGCACCACACATACACATTTGCAAGGTGAGAGCTGAGCTAGTAAAAACACACACACACACACACACACACACACACACACACACACAGTGCTGGCTCACACTGCTGACTGCTGAACAGGCCAAAATGCCCTGCCAATCAGTTTCCATGACAACCCCATCTCTGTCAGAGCAGCTCTCTGCGATGCTCAGCCCCTCCCCGGGCACCCCCTCTACACAGAGCGGCCACGTTCCCCAAACAGGCCTCTCTTCTTACAGGCAGGCTGACCCAGGATCTATGCTACAGTCCTCGTCGTGCCTTTTCTTTCCGCCAAAGCCCCGTTTACCAAGGCACACAGCCATTCTCCACAGACACACTCCTTCCCAAGTGTTACATGGAGCCTGTTTCTCTCAGTTAACTGCATGTTTTCATGCGGTGGGCTTCACTATTCCTCTCTAGATGTGAGGAGAAGCTGAGGCGTCTGCTCTTTGCCAACCCGGCGGACTTCCACGCCATCACAGAGTAGCCGTCCCCAAGCACCCTGCCGCATTAACCGCCGAATGCGACACGGGCGCGATCGAAGCCGACTGCATGATGCTGCCGACCTGCATGCGGCGGCTCAGCAGAAACTGCATGGCCATGTGGCGTGACACAGAAACACCACGAGCACTCGGAGCGTGCACGTGCAGCGGAGAGCTTGGTGTGCGACTTCCTTAGTCTCATGCATGTCAGACTGACCTGCTTTAGACTTCCTTTGGTTATTGTTATTTGCACACCATCAGAGAAGGCTAACAGAAAGCCATTCATTAACAAAGCAGTGCATTCTGTGTTTGAAACAAATATTCTAAACAGTAAAAAAAAAAAACGTTTTTTACGAGAGATTGGTGTAAACACCCTACCTCAAAGACCTACATTCATTTACTCAATAGATATCTCTGTTCAAAGCAACATACAAGCGAAGCTGATGGCATACGGTAAGCATAACGTCATCAAGGAGCCAACGTACGTACAAGTGCAGCTATAGGCCAAGCTTCCAGTGAATGACTATTAACAAGTGCAAGTCAGCGTCAGAGTGAGAGCTGTGCAGTGTAGAACAGAGCACTGCGAGAACCTAACAGGAGAGCTATTCAAAAGGTAGAGACAAGTGCAAAAATACAACCTTGATGTAGGAGTGCAGGTAGTGGTTCAGGTTATCTTCATGGCACTTAGCGACAATGTGCATCAGAACTCTGCAAAGACCACAGCAAGAACAATGACGGCTGATCAGATGTTTTCAGCTACTTCTTGTGACATGCATCAGCATATCAGGACATGTAGACCCTGGTCTCTGACATGGCCAACGGTCAGTGATGCATGAGAGTCAGAGGTGGTGACGGTAACAGGCTGCCAATTCTCTTCACGGCAGTTTTCTTGAGAAGTCACAGTCTAGAGGTTTTAACCTCAACGCATTCTGCCGCATGCAAGTGTGTAACGGTGAGCGGCTCAAACTGTGAGCCCCCCCCCCCCCCCCCCCAGCTTGGGGTCAGGCGACTCATGCGGGCAGAGATCTGAGAAGGGAGTCTCGGCGAGACAGAGGGTGACAACAGCGAGGCTGCAGTGATTAGGGGATTGCTGGGCTGCGGAGAAAGGCTGGCCTGCTGTGGAGTTGCGTTCGATTTTCGTCTCGCTTCTGCAGTCACTCCCGCATGTGTTTATATTAAAGTCAGTTTTCAAGGGAGTCTGGATTTGTTTTAAGTTCGTCTCTAGTTCTGGCTTAAAGGGTTTCGGTCCCGGATCAGTGGATTCCTGTGTCACTACGAGAGTTACTACAGAAACGATACTTAGTGACGCGGCTGTATGGTGCCGGCTACCGACCTGCTGGTGGCGCAAGTGACCTCGTCATCATCGTTCTGGACCAGGACCTTGAACAGCTGGTTGAAGAGTACGGGCAGGAAGCGAATGATTACATGGATGTGCTCCATGCTCAGCAGGCCCTGTAGGATCAGACGGAGTGCACAACAGGGCATTATGAGAAGGCCTGGACAGCAGGACACCCCTCGAAAGCTTGGGAGCAAAGTGATTGGCCAATAAGGGAGATTTTTAGGTTATGCAATGACTCATGCATATTTCTGAGCTGCAGTTCTGTGAAACATTTACAAATTACAAGCGAGAACACATAACCAAATGTCAAGGGGCAGTGCCTTCGGGAGAAAAGTTTATCAGAAGACCAATTTAATATCCAAACTAACATATGGCACAATTCCAGGGGAGACACTGTTCCATTCCCACAACCCCAGTGTATGCTGGGATTTTCAATTTGAGACAAGTCTTGTAAACATCATCTTGTAAACAGTCTGTAGGCTTTGCAATATACCCCAACATTTTTAATGTAGGTGATTTTAGGTTACTGATGGAATAATATAGATTTGCTGTTAGATTTCTTGCGTGAGCATGAGTCTGAAAGCAGGAGGTCACGCCAGATGCATGAGAGCTGGCATCCCTATATTTTAGCCCCTCTTACCTTCAAGGAGCTGATAAAATTCGAGGTAGGGGGCTGAGAGAGGTCCGTCTCTCGATTTTGGCACTCCTGGAAGAATCGGTGCAGGTGGGGGTCCTGCAAAACCAATGAGTATGAGGATGGGCTGAGGAGATAAGTCTGGGGAGGGGTCCGGGGGGTAGTGCCCACCTCACACTCACCTGAGTGTAGACCGTGGACAGCACGTGGGTGCAGACCTTGAATATTGGCTTCCCTCCATCTACCCACTTGATCTCAGGCCCATTTGGCTGTGGACACACGGAGGAGGACACCATGCAGAGTGTGAAGCCACCAGCATAGCGTTTAACGAAGCGAATGCCATGGGAGCTGCAAGGCCGGTCCTACTGCCTCCCCAACCAAACCCCACTCACTTTTCCTTTGGTGTTCAGGTACCCCTGGGGCAGGGTGCAGGACACTGGGATGTTGTGCTCCTGGGAAGTCGGGCGGCCTTCCTTCAGGATGGGCAGCCATGCGTACCCCACTACGGCCAAACACGGAAGACCTCAACACACATCACTAAACACACGATAGAAGTTCTAGGTGTCTGGCACTGACCCTCCTTTAGGGAGAGAAATAGAAACTATATACATCAGAGGAGCAAGTCTGTGCCGAGTCGGAGTTAAGTGTCTTTTTTAGTGTAAAAGTAAAGTTTTGAGATGATCATAGAAGAGGTTTTCTGTCACAATCAGAATTTGCAGTGTAGAGGTATACGAACTGCAATTTGAAGTGAGATTATTTTAGTTTTTCACCTGGGGTTTCTAAGGCCTCCTTTTTCTTGGCGTTGGTCTTGGCGTTAATATCACACGTCACATGATAGAAGGAGAAGAGCAGGTGGTGTTTGCTGTGGAGTTGGGTGGGCAGCTCGATCTTTATCTGCAGGACAAGCAAAGCCCCCTGGTAATCAGCATTCAGGAAAACACCACCGCATCCCTCATCACCACAAACGTGAACCTCAGTGACCTGCAAGTCCCAGCTCTTGACGCCTCTTTCAGATTAAATTCCATTCCCTTCAAGTAAGACTGACCTCGTCATAGAAGTCCGGATTCTGCGAGTGGTGGAGGACAGTGCAGCAAGCAGCAGTTGTGAAGACTGGACCTCCTGGCTTTCCGTATATACACTGTGACATCAAGCGGAAAGGTCAACATGCTGAGGTATATCAAGGGGTGAGCAGCAGGGGTTGATGCCTTCATTCTCATGCTTCAAGAATTTGGTTGAGTAGATTTTGTGTAAAAGTAGGAATACAACCTGTAGGGGTTTGGAATGCTCTTCATCAGAGGTGCGGAACTCGACATACACTGCAATATTTCGTGCCTGTCAATGAGATCGGCAACAGAACATGAGCATTGTCTTTATGGACACTTTATCCTCATGAGAGCAGGTGCTCCTTCACTTTCCTTTGGGATGTTGCGAGTTTGGGGTACCTTGGCAAAGCTCTTCTGGCTGTCATACTTGAGGTGTCTTGGATAGACGTAGATGTGGTTCTTGTAGACTCTGTAGGGCTGAGAGAATCTGCCTGACTCCTGGACAAACTCTTCCACCTCCACTGTGGGTGGGTGCTTCTCACAGTCCTCAATGGGCTTCACTGGGATGTACGAGGATGTCATGCAGTCTACAGAACAGTGAACGTTTCCAACAAGACATCAGACTCAGTTGAATGCATTGCAGTAGAAGTGGGAACAAGTCATTGACTTTCAAGTAAAGTCTTATCACTCAAGTTCCAAGTCAAGTACCGAGTAAAAATGTGTACATTTTATGTCAGGATAGCGTTACGCCAAGTCAAGTCCCAAGTCAACAAACCAAAGTCTCCAGTTAAGTCTATAGTCCTAAGCTACAAGTCCTAAACCAGTCTGAATATAATCATTTTAGAGTCAGCACTCTGCCTGTGTGTGTGTGTGAGAGAGAGACTCAGGACTTGACTCGAGACTTGTTTTGAATTGGGAGTTGACTGGGAACTTGAGCGGTAACACTTGAGACTCACTTGTTACTTGAGAGAGTCAATGACTTGTTCCCACTAGGGCTGCTGAATATGTGTCGACATCAATATTTGAAATCGACATCTTTTTTTTTTTTTAATTTTTATAAAATTACTGTTATGATCTCTAAAATGCTTTGAATGTTATCATAGGAGTAGATCAAATGATAAAAGAAAATGTGGTTTTACACTGTGCAAAGTGTGATGGCAAACCACAGCGGCACTAGCGCTATGCATGAGCACCTGAAGAGGAAACGCACAGGAGCTATTCCAGACGATGGACCGTCCGAGTAGGCAAAACCACCTTAAGTGTTGTCTATTCATGTTTATTAAATTAGCATTGGAATAGAGAGCTTGTTAATAGCAGCTACAAGGACAAAAGTTAAGTACACTCATTATTAAAGCCATAAAGTTGCCTGCCTGCTACATTAGAATCTTCATTGAATAAGTGTTAATGAAAATGTTAAGGTTAAAATCTGGGCTTTTTCTATGTTGATTGACGGTGCTGCTGTGTGTGTTTGTGCATGTTGGACTTGCTGGACCCAGTGTTGTTATCGTAAACTAAAACTGAAATGAAAACAAACACTTAATAAAAGTGATGAACAATATGTGGGTATTATTGTTGAATTCACATATGAACAATATGTGAATATCTGTGGTTCATAGTTCTTTATTTTTTTCTATTTTACATAAGATTTTATGATACCAGTACACAAGGGGGCAAAACAAGGTAAAATCTAAATTCTAAGTAAAATAATGAAAACTCTAAAATAATGAATAATGAAAAAAAGCCGCATCACTTTTTTGCATTGCCTGGACGCAAATCTATAACTTTCATCCCCATGGCCTAAAATATTTGATAGATTAACCTATAGAAAAACAGTCATTAGTGGCAGCCCCAGTTCCCAACTCTGCAATGCAGCCTATTGCTGCCCCAGAGGCCCGAAAGCAGAGACTTGGTTCTCTGCCAGGGTCCCTGTCCCTCACTGCCCCTCACTGCCCCTCACTGCATGCAGGTCACGCTGAACCAAAGCAAAGCCCTGGTCAGCCTCTTACCGCTGGCACACCGCAACCTGCAGGCCTTTGAAAGATCGGCCAAGACATACTGGCCAAAACCCATCGTGGAAACCCGAGTGAGAGGCGACACAAACCAGAGTGACAGGAGTCTGCATTGGGTCTCGCTGCACTGAACACCAGCAAACCCCAACAATAATACCCCATCTGAGCCTGGCGTAGCCTTTGCTATTTTGGGACTTGGGACAGCGTCTGACAGCTGGCCTGTCGTCGCATGCTAGCACAGATACCAGAGCACCTATTATATTTAACGTTATAATGACATTATAATTAGCAACAGTGTCGCGATGCCACATTCAAATGTCCTGGAGATGCAAACCAGGTGTCAGAATAGGCAGCAGCCAATGAACAAGTAGCCACACTCTTACAATGCCTGTGAGACAAGCACAAGACTCCATGCCAGCTAAAAGGGCTGCAATTAGCATTACCGCAAGCGGCCAATGAGCTTCCTCATCCTTTTCATTAGCAGCCTATCGGGGTACTGATCTCTCCTCTTTCGCTCGCATACTTTCCTTGCTGCACCATTTGCTTTCATTATCCCTCCATCACTCTCCAGCTCGAAAGCACAATTATCTTAATGCCTTCCTTCCTTTGGGTGATCTTTCCCAATGATGGGTCATTTTCTATACACCCACTGCTTTGGAAAAGACAGAGGAGCCATTCTTGTACTACGGAGGACAGTGTGCCTGGGCAGACACAGGACTCCCCAGTGACCAAACACTGTCTGAATAGGTAGAGGACACTTGTCACATGCACAAAGACCCCCATAAACCATCAGGAAGATGCCCAGATTCAGGGGACAGATGCAGAGGGAGAGAGATGGAGACTCACTGGGATGTTCCATGGGTACACAGTCCACATCGATGTTGAGGGTTCCTGGGATGGTTTGCAGCTTGCTGGTCTTCTCTGCCCTATGGAGATGCCATTCAGTGAATCTAGGAGCACTGAACCAACTCTAAAGCAGATGAATTGATGACTCCCAGATCTCCATGCGAAAAGGCTTTTCGTGCCATACCTCCTGTACTCGGAGATGAGCTTGATCAGGTCATCTGTGGAGATCTTGTTGCTCTCCTGCTTGAAGAGTGGGGAGAAGCGGGATTCCCTGTCCACAGTGCCATGATTGTCTTTGAACGCAGGCCTAGGATGGGAGCGAAATCCTAAGACTCTAAGACCCAGGGGACATCCTCTACCATATGCTGTCATCTGACAGGAAACACTCCGCACACATCAGAAATATTCCCAGCCACTATGGTACATTAAGGACTGTGAAGTAAACCAGTGCCACAATGATGCCTTTTTAAAAATATCTTTTATTTTAATCAAATCCAAAACAAGTTGTAAAATGTCATCTTATTTCCACCATATTTTTAGTTTCTGTGTCTGGTTTGCCAGGTGTTGTCATTCAACTTAAAACTTACTCAGGAGCTTTTGTCTACAGTTAAGGTGTCTCATAAACCTGCCTGAACTGCTGCAAGGCTTTCCGGTCGTGTTAAACACAGTCATAAAAAGGTCTCCTTCCAATCACACTTACCTCACTGACCAGCCGAAGGGCATCCTGTATTTTCCAAGTTTACTACAGAACTGCTTGTTGGATTTCAGCATTTTCTGAACGGTCTGTGCAGATATTTGGAGACAAAATGGGAAATGAGCAGCGTGTTACTACGCTACGGCGAACGCACTCAGGCTTACAGGCCCAGCATTGGCGGAAGCGGGCCCGGCGCCGGAGCTCGAATCGGGCCCGGCGGTAAGGCTGCCAGAGACTGTCTGATGCCGTCTGTTCACTAAGTTAAGCTCGGGAACGACGGCCAAGTTTATGAATTCCATGGTGGGGGAGGGGGGAAATTCTGCTCTTTTTGAAAAAATTGATTAGAAAACCATCTGGATTCAGAATTACTGAGGATTCAAGCTATTTAAGCTCAGGAATTTCTGCTTGGCATACCAGTGCATTTCCGTATCAAAAATTTGTTTAAATAAATCCAATTTACATCTGCAGAAAAATTTTTTCTACCTTTTTCCACATGATAAAATACTGAAAATGTGCAAGAGAAAGGTGTCATTTTGACATGTAAATGTATTCATGTAGCTGTATTTGCATAGCAGACATATTACACAAAACAGCTGGACGTTGCTTAGAAAACAGTTGCTTGAGAAACTGCGTGATGGCGGATGTGTTCATGTTCAGTGCTGCACATCACCTTGCTGGAGTCTGTGCTCTTTATGTAAGGCTCCGCCCCACTGGTGATGTTTCCCATCAGCACCTTCTCCACCCGGGCCAGCAGCACGATGTCAGTGTGGGGATTCGTCACCGAGAAGATGGCCTGATTCACATGCATGCGTGAGAATGGGCACACGCGTGCATACATAAACGCACGCAGCTGCGCAGTCGGGCACACTCAAGTGCACAGACGCACGTACGTACAGACAGACTGATACAGGGTCAAGACAGATGTACAAATGATAGACCCATAGATCTATACAGATACAGAGACACAAACCGACAGGAACAGACACCCCCAGAAATAGTGTAAATGATAAGACGCCCCCTCCCTACTGCTGAGGATACCACCTCGCAGGCCCAGAGGCCAGCTGTCCCTCTCAGGCTTCCGTACCTGCTTGGGGTAGCACAGCCAACTGTCCAGATCCGGAGTCAGCTGATAGGCGCTGGGCCTGGTGTCCGTGGGCGAGCCCAGGCCGTTCTCCTGCGCGGCGCCGGGGTTCCCCGGGACCCCGGAGCTCCCAGAGCCGACCAGCATCTGCCGCACGGCCTCGTGGTTCATGTCCACGTGGAAGTCGGCTGACACCTTGCGGCCCTCGCGCACGTCGAGGAGAGCCACCGTCACAAAGAATGGCTCGATCTGTGGGGGGTGCGGAAGGAGAGAGGGTCAAAGATGGCAGAAAACACGCTGCATTCCTCCCTGTGCTGCAGCATGCTGGGAAATGGTGGGAAGCATAAGGCTGCTCAACCCAGGGTGGGCGCCGTTATCCTGCCATGTCAGCTCACGTCCCACTGGCTACTATGTCAGATTAAATGAAGCAGTGATTGGCTGTTGACCAGAACCGTGCGCATTATTGGCTAGTGAGCCGGGCGGGCGGTGGGGACTCACGTTGGTTGAGAGCCCGTTCTCAGTGTCGCTAACGCAACCCTGCAGTGTCAGAGTCAGGCTGTGGCAGCGAATCATCAGCCTCCGGCCCAGCTTCTCCTCAAAGGGCCGGACCGCGACCGCTTCGCCGGCCTGCCCCTCCCCCCGGGGGCTACGCAGCACCTGCCAGGGGAAGGGCAACAAACATCGTCAGTAGAGCCCAGCCTCCCGAACAGGGCCCCCCCCCCCCCCAAAAGCTGCCCCAGGTTCTCACAGGCATGTCGGGGTCCAGCATGAACAGGTTGAGCCGCCCGTCCGCCCGAGCGTCCTGCACCTGCTCCTCCGTCTCTGAGATGTACTGGCGGCACAGAGCACAGGAGTCCCAGCTCACACCACAGACACACACGCTACACACAGGGAGGCAAGGAGCTGAGCTCCCGGAACAGGAGCAAAGGCCGGGAACAAGCCCTCTGCAGACTAGGAGAAACAGGAGCAGCAAACATGCTCTTATTCCACAATATTCTGTTCCAGACCGTGTGCGCAGTACCCACTTTGGCCAGTTCGGGGTTCATCATGTCTTCCGAGGCCTCGTCATTCTCCAGAATGCTCACGTCGCTCAGCTCTGCCACATCTGCTGCAAGAATCAATTCAAAGAACTTTCCAGAGAGCCTACATATACAAATAGGTCTCCTTACGTACCAATACCAAAAACAATACCACTGATTTCACTTTGGCTTTACAGAAGATTACAATCTGAACTGCAGTTTCATCACTGGGTGGTTTCCAGTTGTGGATATGCTGTGCTTTTAACAGAGAACCCATAGGAGACATTCATCATTTGCTTTGCGCTCTCTCACCCTGTCTGGCATCAGACAGGTCGATGCTCTTGCGGTCCAGGGCAGGGCCCTCAGGAGGGCTGATCTGCAGGATCCGGTTCAGGGTTCCGATCCAGTCCTCCATGTCCTGCTCGCTCTCGGCAGCCAACACGAAGTACGTCACCTCGTTCATCTTCAGCTCGAAGGCGTGCTTCCGCAGCCGATGATTCTGTGGGGTGGGGGGGGGGAGGTGGGCCAAAGTGTGCGGCTTTTAGCATTGGCTAACATGGTAACAGGAAGACCTGAGCCTCCTTGCCGAGAGCTAATACTGTTAGCATGGTGCTGCCCCGGCAGGATGGGAAACCGCTGAACTGAAACAAGAACGTGAACTTAGCTGCAATTTTCAGGCCACCTCAGCGCATGTCTATATGAGACATGCTGCTTTCCGGCACATGCTCCTCGCAGTCCTCTGCAGCGGTAATAAAAGCTAAGAGTTACAGCCCGCAGCTTTCAAAGCCCAGTATTATTTATGTCTCTCAAGGGCCGCTAACTTCGCTAACCCTGCTAGCTGTGTTTCCAGCCTACTGCCTAGGTGATGACCGTGTGCGTACTTGTTTCAGTTCTGCGTTTGGGTTTTTTTCCCCCACAAGGTAATTTCCGCACGAGTGCGTGACGGCCTACGCACCGGGACCACGCCCGTACAGGAGTCGAGGAAGATGCAGCCTTTAGGTTCTTTGGAGATCTTCTCGTCCTTATAAAAGTTCATGATGTAGGAGTTGTCCGTCAACTGCGTCAGCTGGAAGAACCGCCTTTTGAAAGACTGCGCAAAGAAAACGGATCATTACTGTGATGAACCTGTTGACCACAGAAAATGCCTTGTGCAGTGTGTGGCAACCAGCGGACCACTTGACATTTTTGACCGTGGAACCGGCACTGGTCGGTTTCTCGGGAGGAAGTGGGACGGCCTTGATTGCGTGGGCGTTAGCAGAGACAGAGCTCAGAGCGGGAGAGAGCGCAGGGAACAGTGACTTGGTCCTCAGTATAAAACTCATTGGGAAGGTCACAGATAAATCAGGGCCAATCAGTGGAGGATGCTAGAATGTTGGGTTTATTAATACATCTCTGTTCAAAACATGCACAAGCCACCTGACCCCCATCCTAAAGCCAGCAAGGAGCTCTGAAGCAGGGGCAGGAATGGTGTTAGAGAGCCGGACAACATGGCCGGAGGGGGGTGGGTGCGGGGGGGGGGGCTCCTTACCCGCACGGTGATGCTGTTGTTGACTGTGCTGTTGAAGTTCCCCTTGTATAGCCAACCAGACTTGAAAACTCCACCCCCCCCGCCGCTCCCGCCACCACCTCCCCCACCCCCTTTGGACGATGAGAGGGATGTGGTGTCCTGGGGGGGGAGATAAAGGTGGTGAGGCTCCCTGCAGAGGCTGGGCATTCCTCATGTGAAATGTCAAAAACATTTTAACAGTCAATTCATTTATTCAGAATGGTTCCGCTGGCGGCAGGATTCATCACAGAAGCCAAACTGAAGGGGGCGCTGTGGGGCACCAAGGCTCCACCCTGACCTCGTCCTTGTCCACCTCCTCGTGGTCGATCTCGAAGGAATGACTCGGCAGCTTCTCAGACTTCAGCAGCTTCCTGTGGGGAGGGGGGGAGTAGGGGTACAGTCACGCTACATAGCTGGGCTCCATCGGGATGGGGGGCTGTCTCATCTGAGGAACCGCCACGCAACCCCCCCCCCCCCCTGGCTGGTGTGTGCTGACCCGTGTTGTGTTTGTAGTTGTTTGTCTGTAGCCGGTCGTTTGGCCGATGGTATATCACGCTGTCATCGCATCTCCTGGGTTCCCCAAAGCCCCGCCCCCGAGATCACTACACCCCCATTGTCTGCCAATTGCACGATGGCTGGTCTGCTTGGGCCTTGCCAGGCTTTCAGGAGGGATCCCACGCCTGGTCGGCTTTTACGAGGCTGGCCGACACCTACGGCGCCTCTTGTGACATGTTTTGGTGGGGGGGGGCAAATTGGATGGATGGCGAGGGCATCCCTCCCCCCTGTGGAGCTGTGCTGGACCAGTTAGGGATAAGGACCCTTCTACAAGCCGCTTTCAGGAAGTTAACCTGTGAGCCAGTGGGTGACAGTATCACCTATCAGAGGTGGAAGGTTCGGGTTCAGAAAGTACAATTTCAGACCAAGATTTTGTTTCAACCAACCAATTGAGTATAAAGAATCACCAAAGAGGGTTGTTTGCCACTGCAGCCCAAGGGCCCTCAGGCCGTACGGCCATCACGGGCCTGAGGGTGACATGCAGGGGACGGTGGCCCCAGCACTCAGAGGCACGCACCGGGGCCTCGCCTCGCCTCGCCCATGGCGGAGGTTCCTCCAGATGTCCCCTGACATCCGTTTATCTCTGACTGAAAGCTGAATGGAGACCGGACAACGCGCTTCCCGGTCCGGAGGGGTGAACCTCAGGTCCCTTGGCGGATGTTCGCCCTCGGGGGCCGGCCCCATTCGGTACTTACTTGGACAGCTGTCGATAGTCCCCCCCGTAGACCTCGGACGTGTAGCTGACCACGTGGAGAGGGGAGTTGTAGTAGCTGCACGCCTACAAGAGGAAGTGGGACTACAGTCATTAAAGCTCCCCAGGACTGCAGCATCAGGAGTTATCTTTACCCTGCGCTGCCCACAGAAAAAACACCCAGTCATCCTTCAGCCGTTATTTTCTGACACCTATACTCCCTCTAAAAAAGCAGGTGAGGTCACCGCATTTCACAAAGCCCCCCCACCCTTCCTCACCAGGCACGCTATATATAGCCGGCGTGTGTACTCGGGGCCCACGCTGGACAGGGCAGCCCTGTCACTGAGGTGTGATAACATGTAATTACACGCAGAGGTGGCCAGGGAGGGAGACAGAACTGGAAAGGGATTAATTAGCAGAGAAAGAGGAACAGGCCTGGGGCGTGGTGAGATAAGCAAGTCCTGTTACTGTTTTATAACTGTACTCAGGGGGAAGGGAGATCTGGAAGTCCCTCCCCCATCCGATACCCTGTATAGGGTATCGATCCTGCCCCGGGATCACATGACCCATGGGGGGCCCAGGGGTCGACATAGTGACCTATGAACAGGCTTTGCAGAGCGTACAGGGTATCTCAGTGGTTCAGCCCCCCACCTCCACCCCCTTGTCAATAGTGGACTGAGTCCCCTGATCAAGATCGACTTACAGACTCCCAGCGCCCCAGATACCCATCAACCCGGCAGCTCCCAGCGCCCCAGATACCCATCAACCCGGCAGCTCCCAGTGCCCCAGATACCCATCAACCCGGTAGCTCCCAGCGCCCCAGATACCCATCAACTCGGCAGCTCCCAGCGCCCCAGATACCCATCAACCCGGCAGCTCCCAACACCTACTGGGTCTCCCAGTGGAAATTAAATGTGTCAGCCCCCCCCATGCACCCACCTGTCTGACCAGCAGACTGGCCGCCTTCTCTGCCCCTGCGGGCACGGTGGAGTGTGATGTCTGGCTCTCCAGGGGCACCGTGGACACCTGGTGGGGTGGAGAGGGGAAAGTGTAAGCAGGACACTCATGAAGGCCGGGTGCCATTTTCACACACTGCGTACGCTGCACGCCCCCCCCATTCACACCAGCAAGACGTGACTTCAGCTCTCTCTCAATAACAGCATCCAGCTTCCTAGAACGCATACGGCTCACTTTCGGGAATCTGACACAGCGATGAAAAATAAGACATTTTAGCATAAGGAGCATAAAAGACTCTTTAACAACGTTAAAGCCCCGTAAGCAGGAGGGGATGGAAGAGGCCACTGGCATTAAAGGGCACCCGATATGCCTCTCGATCTGATTTATACCCCCTGCGGCGGGGCACTCAGAGAGCATTAAAAATACCTCAAGCAAATTGCATTACTGAGCGAGCCCTCTGAGGGTCATGGTCTGGTGCAGGATCACTGCTTCATGCATCCCCACTTAAGGTCATCTGCGCTTTAACATACAACTTAACTCACTAATTAAGTAGCCGGCGTCGGATTTGGGAGATGGGTCACTCGGGAATTGAAAAGGGAACATGTGAAAATGTCAAATTACTTTTCATTGTCCTAGTTTGCTAACAAACACAGAGGCCGGGGGGTGAAAGACCTGCAAAGGCGCTTGTGTTTCTTATAGGGGAGTGAAGTTCATTTCCAAAGGGCCGCTTCCTGTTCCTGCTGCTCACGCCGGCTCCGCTTCCGCGCCTCGCTCTGAGCCTTTTGGGTCCACCGAATGTTGCTCAGATGCACGGGCAGGGCCCGGCATCATGGCTCGGCACAGTAACTGGGCGTCATGGAAACGGTCTCGACGAATGGAAGCATCCGACGCGCGGTCTGCGTTACGGAGCGTGTCGGAGCCGGACCCCGCGGCCCAGAAGGATTTACTGCCGGCCTGGTGCAGAGAGCCCCGCTTCTGCTGGTGGAATAGCTGCTGGGTTCTGCATGGGGTCCCACAATGGGAGACGGCAGGTCCAGCTGCTGCGTATGCCGGCTTCCTCTGCGCGGCTCTTCCCCTTCAGAGAGCTGTACGACTCTGTGGGCCACATCCTATTTCTGCCCAGGCCGTCAACATCCGAGCTGACTCTCACTTCCACCTCCGACCCCCGCCCCGGAGCGATGCGGCCGCCGCGGTGCAGAGGCGTGTTTCAGGCAGCTTGTGAAGCGTGCCTGAGTGTGTGCGAGTGTGCGTGCGTGTGTAGGGATAGATTGTGACCGTGACCTGTCACTGTGACCCTGAACGCACAGAGCTGGTGAGTTCATGCAAACTCGCAGACAAGAGCCCAAAAAGTCATCCGATGTTTTAATTACAGCGATGAGCATTTTGCAGCCCCTACCCATCAACTGCAGCCACACAGTCGCCTTTGTCTGATTTACAGAAGTAAGTCTGACCAGAGAATGGGAGAGACTCCCCAGCTCTGGCACAAGCCCCCACGCGACCCCAGGGCTGGTCTGACTGGATATGGGTACAAACTGCAGGGCGTTTGGATCCCGGTGGGGAAATTTGTGTTGTACCTAAAAACCCAGCTGTACCACTGCAAAGGCCTTCCTGTCTCAACCGTGTACTGATGAAAGGGACAGTTAAAAACAGAGAGAGAGAGAGAAAAGATTCAGACAAAAAAGCAAACAGAATGGCAGGTCAGGTGGTCTGGAGAAGCAGCCAATGACACACGCGCGCACACACGCGCACACACACTCACACATGCATACACACGCACCGTGAAGTCATCATCGGGGAAGAGAATAAGGTCTCCCAGAGAGTCCTGCTTCAGCCCGGCGTCCAGCTCGGAGATGACAGCCTCGTAATCCAGAGGCTCGATCTGCTTCGCCTTCTCCTGCTGCAGAAAAAACAGATGCGAAAACCCCATCAAACGACTGCTTCCCACTGCCTTCAACCCTGCGTGTCGGGGTGCGTGGCTGAACGGGGCGCCTGAACGCTGCCTGCTGCAGCTCTGTGCTCAGTCCCGCCTTATGCCGCTGCCATCATCATAGCTGGTGGCTGTTTGCTCGCAGGAGGAAAATATCACGCCATTAAAATGTGCAGAGAATTTACAGCTTGCAGTTACATGGGATAATCATATTAGACCTTAATAACAGGAAATGTCTGCCACTCATGTAAATTAGGACAGTTTAAACACAGCGAATGACACCGAAACAGACAGGCGCACAGAACATGAGACAGTTTGAGTAAATGTTTGGCACGAAGCTCACTGGACAGGGCAGGAAGATGCTATAAACCTCAGGGATCAAAGGTCACCTTGGGCTGCCAGTCACAGGCTCTACAGAGGCACCTTTCCAACAGCTCTGTCTTGAATCGTGTGGGAGGGGGATGGGGGGGCTTCTCATGGGAGGAGGGGGGTTTCCCCGGGGCCATCATTGCTGCCCCAAACTGTAGTTCCGCAAGACCCCCACCCCCTGCTAGTCTTAAGAAGGACCCCCCCCCCACAGAGATGACGATAACGAAGACAGCAGAAACCGCAGCACCGCCCAGCAGTGTCATCCTGCTTCGGGGTCTGTTGGTACTTTCCATGGGGACGGGAGTGGAAACCTCTGAGGCCGCTGTGAGCGCACACGCCAAGACACGCCTGCTTGGGCTGCCTGTGCTCATGGGGGTGCGGGGGGGGGGGGGCGTCAATGGACAATGGAGATTAATATTCAGGGCTGACACTCACACGTTGGCCAGAGCACATGATCGCAGGCGACGCGCTCCAGGTCAGGATGTGAACCACGGTCACTGCACTCGACTAGCAGTGGTTTATGCGGGAAACCCCTCCCACAACACAACTGCAATTACCTCCGATAAGGGGGACACCCCCCACAGCTTAACTGCAAATATGCTCAGTGAAGGACATAGTGTTACAGGAACAACCCTTAAAGAGGGACAAACCCCACAACATAACAGCAAAGGCTCTTAATGACGGACACACCCCACAGTGTTACAGTAACAGTACTTAATCAAGTTAGCCCCCCCACAACAGTGTTACAGAAATGGCCCTTAATGAGGGTCATCCCCCCACATAACAGTAACGCCTCGTATTGATGGACCACTCCCCCCAAAGCGTTACAGTAACGGCCCTTAATGAAGCCCCCCATAGGAGAATGCAGTTGCTACGGGACTGCGACACCATGGGGTCTCACTTCGGCTTCTCCGCCCTCAGAACCTCCCTCTTCAGCGCCAAGCCGGCACTGCCCGACATTCTCCCCCTGGTAAATATGCCATGCCGCTACCCAAAATGGGTACTATATTCTTCCAGATGCCAAGCAGACCATCCTGGGCCATCACGGCTTCGGTTTGGTGGCCCGCTACTCTTAGCGACTCTTAGATGAGGTCATGGCCGCTGCTATTTTCTGCTGCAGGAAGTTTCAATGCGAGCGCACTGAACGGTTTTGTTCGTCCGCCCTGCCGGCGGCAGGCATAGGAACACGCACCAACAGCAGCGGGCGGCGAGGAGGAAACGCCACTGACACACAGCGCGGGGGACAAACAGTCCTGCAGCCAGGAAACATTAACCAGCTAAAAAGTCTGTGCGAGTCCGACCATCTGAAATGAACCGCTGCTGGTTCCCGGTGCTAACAGACCTGAATTAGTGCCGATTAGCCACTGTCATGCAGGTTCTCACAAACTGCACCTGACCGGACGGCGTTACTGTGCACCCCCAGCCCGTCTGGCGAGCGCCTCTAAACCGTAACAGCGTTTCGGCGTTGCCAGGCACACACGGGGGGAGGGCGAGGCGGCAGATGGATGGGTAGGAGAGCTGAAGCGAGGGACAGAAAGAGGAGGGAGGAGGAGAGAGAGAGGGAGCCGTGGAGGACGAGAGCCAGGAGCCGGCGAGGTGCACGGAGGCAGAGTGGGCGCCGGGTACGTACGCAGCTCAGTCGGCTGAAGTTGGCTCGCGTGCGTTTGCCCTTGGTCTTCTTGCGAAAAGTGATCTTGCTCCTGAAGCTCATGCTGGCCACCAAGGTCACGGACTGACAGACGGACGACGGACGGACAGAGAGCGCGACCTGCCTCGGCGACGGCACGCAGAAGTTCCATGTGACTTAGCACCAGAGGCGGCAAAGAGGAAGTCCTCTGACAGGGAGCTGATGTCACCGCAGGGGGGGGGGAGGGGCAGTCAAAACCAGCCTGACTCCAAGCCCCCTCTTTCTGCTGCTCTCCACAACCCCCCCACTCCCACCACCCCCACAGGTTGATTTATTCATGCTTTTATTTGCACAGGGAGAAGCAGGAACGGCAGGCAGACATGCCCCCCCCCCCCCATCACCTGCTGCTACCTAACTTCTGTAAAACTGACACAGGAAGTGCATGGTAAGCGCAGTCGGAGTGCGCTGGCTTGTGGTCGAACTCGCTTTTTACACTCGATCCTCTCCTTCCGCGTCATTACCTTCTCCACCTTGCTCCCCAAACCTCAACCACTACCCCTACGCCTCTCCACTGCTCCGCCACAGGGCCCGACTCAGCCCAGTCCATGCTTGCGCAGTCCAGTCAAGTCTGTTCCCTGAATTTCTCCACTAGAGGGACTGGCTAATTAAATAAATCCTGTTTTTAACTGTAATTATACATGTCAGTTGACCCACCGTCTCACAATGTGGGGTATAAATACTCAATCTCAAAATAAGAGATGATACATTTACAGCAGCCCATCTGAGTGTGTGGTCATACATTGTGGTGTCGCAAACATACAGATCCACCCCCCCCCCCACACTTCCTGCCTGACAGATGTCAAAGCCCCCCATGTCAGCTGAGCCCTGAACCAAAACCCAGCTGCTGTACAGTGTTCTGAACCATCTCTAGAAGGGGGATACAGGGAAACCCAATGACACAACTCAACATTCTCCAGATGAGGCACAAGAGGCAGCGTGTTGAGTTACGGCTGATTAAGACCTGTCTGATTCACCCCCCCCCCAGGAGTGCAGAAGTCTCACAGAAGAGAAAAAGTACATAGTAGTTAAGATGTGCTCCCCATCCCAGCCTGCTATTACTGCTGCTAATTAAGCTAATGAACATCGCTCTTCTCATTTACCCAAATTCCTTACACCCCGAATGGTGAAGACAAAGGATGGAACACCGGTAACTTGCCAACAGGACAGCGACTCCACACCGACGCCCCCCCTTGAGAATGTCTAATTCAGGCTGTGGAGAGGCACATACTTGCCTCTCTGAACCACGACGACAGTGGGGGACACAACAGCTTCAGTATATCAACTCCCACTGTCGTTTTAAATCCCAGCTGAAGTTACACAAGGAATGAACCAGTGAACCAAAGGCAGAATTTGGTACAGGACAAGCACTAATCCCCATAGAAGCTGACAGGGTTTAAATGGCCTTTTCCTGGTTATACAAGTATTCATTTTAACCCTACTGGACTTTTCCGTTCCAGATTCATCCATCTGGAGCACTGGAGTCCCATTAATTCAGCCCAGTGACTCATGGAATCATTTTGACCTATGACCCCCAATCCTTAAAACTGACTGCACCTCCTGTAGCCTCCATGGATGATACACTATGTCCTCCACCTTGCCCCAGACGTCTTCTCGGAACAAGCTCCTGACAGAGGACTTTGAACTGGCGCTCACAGGAGATGGTGATGGAGAGGGGATGGGGATCTGCACCTTCTCTCAGCATGACGGTCATATGGTGTCACTGTGACCTCCATGTTAACAGACATGGCTGCTCAGGTGTTTTGTCCCTCTGGACAATAAGAGTAGCTCTTCATCTAACCAATCACAGTGCTCCCTTCATCTAACCAATCACAGTGCTCCCTTCATCTAACCAATCACAGTGCTCCCTTCATCTAACCAATCACAGTGCTCCCTTACTCTGAGTTTCAGTCTTAATTTGCTGGGATGGCAGAAACTGGACAGGGTGTATCTGGTGCTGAGATTCACATGTTTCTCTTCCAGCGCTGCTAGGAATCTCCTAACTGTCACTGAACCGCCACAGTGACACCCCCACAGTGTGGTCAGAACAATCTAAGAGACACAAGCTCAGAACACCCTCTGTGGCTAGTAGATGATTGGGGGGAAATTGGACATCAAAGAACAGATAATTAAAGTAATACTGGAGAATTTTCAGGCTCGCCTACGGATTGTCTATCGCATAGGAAACCGAGGATCGTCAGTCTTAATCTGAGGCCGCGTCTCACTCTCACCCCCCGACAGAATTCTAACAGGTCAGCGCTGCTGTCAGCACTCTGGAAGGGGGGGGGGACAGTCTCTCCTCAAGCCCAAGTCTCTCTTGGATGCTGTGTCTCGGTGCTGTCCCACTGTGTGAACCAGTGAAATCCCTCAATGTTGTTAAAAACATAATCATTAAGAATTCCTTTCCCTTTTCTACACACAGTGATTCTGTCTGTTAATGTTGTTTTGACAGAGTCACCTATTAAAATGCTTATCACAGGATTTTGCTCATATCTGCTTAGTGACTTACGTTTCACACCTACAGATCTGTGAGCGTTCGGCCTCTACCTAGATTGGCTTCCTCCTGTTGACCAGCGCACTACCTCCATCATCTGCCCTCCTTCCCAATTAACACACCCCATGTGTCACAAACCCCCCCCCCGGCACTGCTGGCCTGGCGTCTGCCCACAGCGGTGCCGAGTCAGTATTGGCAGGACGGCCACTAATTAGTAATGGCTTGGATTAAAATGGGAGGCAGAGAACAGCTAAGACAGCGAAATGGGGGGAGGGGGGGTGTTAGGGTGGGCCTTCTGTAATTATGGGGGGGGAAGGGGCAACAGAATGCCAGTGCCACCCTTGAGTAGGGCTGAAGGATTCTGGATAGAGATGCATAATATATTGATTTAAATATCGTTAAAAATCATGACTTTGGCATCAG